ACTTGTTGTTGTAGAGTCTATGTTTACTGTAATACTTTCTTCACTAAGAATCTACTATAACTTGCAAGTATTAGTCATGTTTGTTGTTTGGTTTCATTGTTGCTATTTGTCACATGAATTGTTTTTGTTTTGTTGTTTTGTTGTAAAAATAATGAGATCTACTTTTGTTGTTTGGTTATCTGATCTTATGTGTTTGTTTTGTTGTTGTTATTTACACGTCACTAAGATCAGATTTTCAGGGTCTAGTCAATTTTTTCAAAATTTCCGAAAATTTTCTAAAAATTTTCGAAGGCCTTATTTTTGTTGCTAGCCTTAAAGTTTTTATAAAAAGCTACTTTAATAAACTAAAGATTATTTTTAGGGCTCTTTCTTTTTTACTAATACAAAAACCTTGTTTTTTATACTAGTTCTTAAGAAAAATAATGATTTAGTTTATAGCCGATTAAAATCAAGTTGCAATTTGTAGATCAGCGGAAAGAGTTTTGCACTATGTATAAACTAAGAAATTTTCTTTTTATTAATAACGAATAAATATTTAATAATAACTAGACCATGCTTTTTCTTATTATATAAGATCCCACGATAAGAAAGGGACTTAAAAAGGGTATAAGGGCAATGAGTATAATATTCTTAATCAGTAGTTTTATCAAAATTCATATATCACAGGAACTTGGCATTCTCAGATCATCGAGATCATTGACTTTTTTACTTTGCAGAAGAGACTGTCGAATCTAAGAAGAGTTAATTTTACTAGAAAAAATAACAAAATAGGCTCAGTGTTTAGAACTTATGCCCGAGCGAAGTTGCTTTATTAAGTATGGTATGGTATTGTGTTAGGGTAATGTAATTATTTTTTTCAGAACTAGATCTAAAAGATTATAAATCATAGATTTGTCTCTTATTTCAGAAGCAATAATACTGTATATTGTATCTGGGTCTGTTATATAATACAAAATGAGGCAATATAAAATTGGTGAGTTTTTATCTTATAAAGTGGATTACCAATTACTAATAATATTTTTTTTCTACTCATATATTTTTATTTGATCTATTTGCCTGTAATTTATTTTTAATGTGTTATTTCATTTAATACAAACTATGAAAATGAATTTTTACTTACTATAATTTTTTATATTTAGGAACGAAAAATGAGTAGTAATAAAAAACCACCCCAAGACCAACATTAGTAATACCCCTAAGACCAACATTAGTAACACCCCAAGACTAATAATAGTAACGCCTCTAAAACCAACAGTAATAACGCCTCCAAGATCAATGATAATAATACCTCCAAGACCAACAAAAGTGACGTCCCTAAGACCAATAATAGTAATGCCTCCAAGACCAATGATAGTAATGCCTCCAAGACCAATGATAGTAATTCCTCCAAGACCAATAATAATAATACCTCCAAGAACAATGATAATAATACTTGAAAGAACCTCTATACTTGTAAGTAAAGTTTACATTGCATAAATATTCCACAAAAATAATTTTTTCAACAATATAACTACTTGAAACTTAGTTTCTTTTTTTATTCAAACTAGATGATATCTATGATGAACTGATTTTACATTACTATGGATATAGAGATGAGGGTAACAATTATCTTAAAAGTTATATGTAGTATTTAGCTGGTGATAATGATGGTAGTGATAATGATTATGTTTCTTAATGTATAATCAGAAAAAAAATATTTATTATTTGTATATTGTCTTAACAAAAAAATTATTAAATAAAGAAGGAGGATCTCGTGCCTCACTATTTTTATTTTAATATGATTGTATGAATGGGTAGAAAAATTAGTCAAGATTTAAATGTATATAAATAGAGGTATAGCCGTGATGTGTTATGAAACAAAAATTTTATAACCAAAATCGTAATATAACAGTAAAATGTAATTTATTTTTCTGTGAAGTAAAGCATTTTGTACCTGTTATTCCTGGCTAAAAATTTGTATAAATTTTTTTCTATTCATTTATAAGATCATCAAGCTATGCAATACTTAAATCACTTTTTAGTATACTTCAATGTAATAACTCTTCACCAACCAGCCTATCCCGATCTGTTAAAAATTTGTAATATTTTCTGGTATCTTCATTTCTCTCTATTCCACCTTGATAGAACCATATCTCTCTCTCTAAGTCAGCAGAAAAACACCTCATGGTCCATCTATTTTTCTCAGCCTCAGTAATAACTGAAAATTTCTCAAGATTTATTTTATGTTTGATGGCATATTGATAAAAGTGGAGTTTGTTTAGAAGAGTTAGTAAATGAGATTCTGTTTCTCAAGGTTTGTTTAATATACTTTCCTGTGAATTCTGTATGGCGATTATAACTTTCTTTTGATCAATACAAAAAAGACAATTAAGAAAATAGTGATCATTTTTACCTAGACAGCTCCAATCGCCCCATATACCTTGATGTGTATATACTTCTTTGCATACTGGGCATTTAGCTTCTGAATCAGTATATTTAAAAACATCCCAGTATTATGCATTTGAATTAGTATATGATAAGAAAGGAAAATGTTTATGTACTGCTTCATGAGTTGTGTTTTTTTTTTCTAATAACTTAGAAATTTTGATAACACAATCTTGTAAAAGGTAATTATTAGTCTTTTCGATTTGTGAAGATTCAGAGGTTTTGGCATTCATTCAGGGATCAAGCCTAGTTTTTTTTTTATAATTTGTATATAACTTAGAACGAAGTTTGTCTGATATGGTGGTTGGCAAATCAGTTAATTTGGAATACCAATTTAAATATTTAAAGGTTAATACTTTACTAGACCAGGCTTGTGTATCTATGTTGTTATTTATATAATTTTCAAAGTAATTTAATTTCTCGCATTGGATATCATGTATTAAAAAATATTATTTCATTCTATTCCTTATTGTATACTAATGAGTTATAAAGCATAGGACTTTTCAAAATGAAAGAAATGTTTTGCATCTAAAGTTTATGCAGTTATTTGAACTATGCAGGGTTTACATTTAATATAGTAAGTTCTATTTTTATATTCTCCTTCTATGTCATCATCACTATAATTTAATCTGCATAGTAAACATAATGTATTGTCAGTAATTCTGTAATAATCATCATTTCTATCACTACACTCTTTATATAAATTAGGATATTGTTCTAATATTTTATTACAAAAATAAATATAATCATGGATTGGATTAGACGATGCACTTACCTTAGTCTCCGGTAAAGATTTGTCCTCGCTTAGGACACTGACAGATATTATATAATATTTTTAGGGGGGGAGGGGGGTAGCTGGGTATAATATCATATATATATTTTATATATGATATAATATGATGTGGGAGCAGGGAGGTAACTCCCTTAATAAAAAAATATTACGTAATAAATGTCACAGCCCTTATTATATCTTCTGAATTAGAGGTATGAGATGATTTAATAGATATACTTACCTTAATATTTGATGCGTTATTTGAGTTTGAGTTTGATGATTCGGTTATGTGTATATTACAATTTGTAATGCTGATCATTTCTTGATATTTAATAGAAGAATTATCTACATTCGAATTTTTAGGAAAACAGTTTATAATATCTTAAATCTGATTGTTAGTTAGACTCGAAATTGTGCTTGCACTATATATTATTGCTTGAACTTTTTCTAGTCCTATTTCTATAAATAACATATAAATTTTTTTCGCTCTAAATGTTCTTTGACGCAAATTTACATCACTAACATCTGGGAGAAGTGCTTTTATCTCATTATATACCAATGTCCTTGTTGATTAGTTATCAATTTTATTTATATGTTTAATGTCCTTGACTTGATCTTCATATGCTTTATAGTAGCAATACCAGTATAAAATCTCTTTTTGTCTAATTTTCATTGCTATAATAAACAAATCGGCTATATTTTGTGCTGTAATTTTGTTAGATCCTGTTATGATTGCTTTTAGTGAGAATTCAGAAATTTGTATATCAAATACTTCACTAACTTATTATTAATATCTTTAATGAACAAAGATAAGTCATGCTTTAAGTCTTGCTCGACTTTTTTATTATATGGAATTTTTACTTCAGAATTTTGTGCTTGATCAATAACCAGATTTATCTTATTTTGTATATCAGAAGCATTTTGTACTGATCCTTGACTCTGAAGTTTCTTTTTCTGATTTCTTTCTCTTATTTTATTACTGTTTTCTTTATGCACCTGATCTAGAAATTTTTCGATCTCTTTATCTTCTGAAGATTTAGTTTCCATACAAATTGATGCAGAGTATTGAGTCACTGTTTCCTGACATACATTAGGATTTGAAGCAGTATCAAATACATTTTCAGATATATTTGAAAAAGCACCATCAGGTTCATCAGAATTTGAAGTATTATCAGTTATATCAGATGCAAAAGTATTACCATATCGTGAGTCTATTTGTTTAAAGTTACTCTCAGAGTTTATTTCACAGGAAGCATTGATATTAGCCGAATATTGTTCTTCTGGGAGGAGTATACTTATCTGTTTAATTTTCTTGATATTGTTGTTCAATTTAGCAATATGTTTTTTATTAACATTATATGTTTGAATTTGTTCCAATTTCGTAACTTTATCTTTAAGCTTAATATTTTCAGCAGTGAGGTTGTCAGTATCTGCTTTATTTTTCTTTTCTAGCTCTTCAAATCGGATCTTTAGTACCGCATATTCTTTAAAAGATTGTTTTAATTTTATATTTTCGCTTTCAACCTCTGTGAACTTTTTTCTAAGTTCATCAATCTGAAGAACAAGTTTGGAATTTAATTCTCTTAATAATTCTATTGTAGATTGTATATTCACCATTGTTTTTATTTAAGATATGAGTATATTCAATTCATTATGGAGATAAAAATCACATGTGTGTTACAATTTGTAACGCTAATGCCAAGAAAAATTCTCAATCATATAGAATAATATACAGTACATCAATCAAAATACAATAAATAAATTCACGAAATACACATGCAAAAGTAAACGCAATTATGTATGTGAAATCGAGCCACCAAAGCCAGCATTATTGATATAAAAAAATATAAAAACAAAATACAAATAAGAGCTAGTATTTATAACAAAAAATTATTAATATATATACACAAGAGTAAAGTAAAATAAAATCCAAGTCACATCACGTGGAGGTCAATGCTCAAATCCTTTTACAAATATATAGGGAATTACTATTTCCGCCATGGTAATTTGCCATTTCCACCATAATAATGAACAAACTAACACTACAAAATCGATTTACCCTAACCCTAATTCTAACTCTGGCCATATAGTGGAAATAGCAAATTAATATAGTGGAAATAGGGAGTTCCTTATATATATTTAATAATACTTATTTTTGGGTGTTGTTACCGTTTTTGGACTTTCTTCGGCACTAAGATCTCCATCTCCATCTTCAGACTTATGTATAATCTTATATAATGTACACGCAACTGCTGTCTAAAAAAATCATAATAACATTATTTTTACTCTCTAGAAATTCTATAACAGAAAAAAAAAACCAACCCTTAAAGTTAGCAAAACGTGGATAAGTGCGTAGACATCAGTAGGAGTTGCTATATGTAAAGGAATCGGTGCTTGTTCCAGTAAACAGTACTTGAAAATACCCGTTTCCTTACGCATAGCATATATTTCTAGCATATCTCCTACAAGATTTAATCTGAATTAATCGCGGGCTTATGGATCTTATATAATTAAACATAGTAATTTCTTACCTGCAACATTAACCGTAAATATTGCTAGTTGTTGCCTTGTAATTGATCGGCTAAATATTCTTTGAAGGTTAGAAACACTTCTTGTAGTATCAATTGAATCTTTAGAAAATCGAGCCAATTTTTTATGATCCCGTACTCGTTTAATTAAAGTTGAATTCGGCCGACCAGTTTCTAAATAAGAAATTTCAAGCTTCGCATTTTTCCCCAAATGAGTTAGTAACATATAATCTGGTCTTCGTGCAATTTTTTGCGAACCCTTCCTTACCGCACTAGCTAAACTTCCTTCCTCACCCCTTAATTCAGAAACTTCATATTAATAATACGAAATAATGTGATTATCTAATATACAATAAACGTACCAAATACCCCATGCTAATGGATGCCCGGGTAAATCATTCATCGCAATATTTATCAGCGGAGCAATTACTTCACATACGTAAGACCCCTCATTTACCTGTGGCTCTCCATCTTTTATGAATAATTTATATTTCGGCGATCTCCAAACTTTTCCCCAAAAAAAGAAAATATGTTAATTGATAATCGGTAATTAAGAATTAGTTTATAAAGAAAACAAAATATTAACATTGCTTCCAATAATTCTCTCGTTATTTGCTCAAGTTTTTCGGGTTGATCTACCCATCTTCCAAATTCAACATTTCCCGATATATCATATTTCGAGCTGATTTTTCCTTCTTCGTCCATAACAAACTTCTCGCACATATTAAATATTGCATTATTCTTGGTCAACTTATATTTTTGAAACGGCTCTTGGAAAATACTGCAGAGCGACGTAGGCATTTTTGTAAAAGGCTTTGATTTGATATCGAGGATTCCGGAACACAACGGGTGGTCAAAACCTAGCTCCGACACATTTATATCGTGTAATTCCGTTTCAACTCTCTCCCACATTTGTTTTTCATAACCTGAAGTTTCATTCGTACGCTAAAATTGATAGCGGTAAATAAATACCACCTGGAATATAAAAAATCAATTTAATATAACTTACGAACCTTTCTAACTTCACGCTTCAGCGAATCTATATTTGCATTCGCGTCTTCCTGCCAACTCATTACATCAATTTGCTAAAAAATAAGTATACAATACATTAGTGTCAATTCATAAATTATATGTATAAGATTATTCATAATACCAGAACGTCCAACTCCACAAGGGAATATATATAATCAATTGCAGTTAAAATCTAAAGTAAAAACAAATTTATAAAATAAGTTGCAAGAATAAACGAATAAAGGAACCACTAAAAATTGCACAAGATCAGATTAGGTTTCCGTTATCATATGTTATTGAAAATGCCGGCAATTATAGTATTTGCAACTAGCTACTACCACGCGTGAAATGTTTTACCATAACCGGCGCAGTCCATTCACTAGAATACAAATACTAGAAAACCTAATGGTTCATCACATCTAATACGCTTTTTTCAAAAAAAAGGTTATAAACTTACTCGTTGTCTCAAACCTTCACCGGTTCCAAAGTTCCGAAGCTTTCTTAAACGTTCTTCTTCTCCGGGCGTCTGCTTTATCGTATTTTTCACATTTTCTAATGTTTTCACGAACTTTTGTACTTCTTGCTCGCGATTTCCACTCCAGCTACCTGATTCTGCATGCTTATACAAAGCAGTGGCAACAGTGATTGTTGAGATAGGTGTAGATTTAGCCAGGGCGGCCCCCCCAAAGTGTAGAACCCTAGCCAAGCGGAAAACGAAGTGTCGGGTCATGTGACTTCCGAAGCATTCGAAACTACCCCAGTATCGCCAACAAAATTTTCACGGTCACGTGAAAATTGTCCAATCACGATCTACCATAATTACAACCAAAATTTCACACTCACGTGAAAATTGACCAATCACGATCTACCACAAACAAAATTTTACACTCACGTGAAAATCGTCCAATCGCACATAGCCTAATATTCATATAGATAAGCAAATTAATTTACTAAATAAAAT